GAGAGGCGGGACCAAAGAGCCAGAGCTCAACCCCCGCAAACACAACTAGGTGAGTACAACTAGGTGAGTACACACACACACACACACCAACATTCGGAACATCAATAAAGCTTTACCAGTCACATCCAAAAACAATCCAACGGAAACCCGGTTGCCTGAATTGGGGTTGGGGGCTATAGACCCCCCCCCCCAGGATCTTGGGGGGGGGGGGGGGTTGTCTTCGATTTGATCCGATTACCGACATTTCAGCCTCAGTCTAGCGAGCCGAATTGCCTTGTTCTGTTCACTCATTCATATCTTTTGATCGCGAAGCAATTGACCGAGATGGATCTATTAGTCTTCCATCCGTCTGTCGTCGAATTGGATTCTCCCCTCGCTGTGGTGCTGGATCTCGGATTGTGGATTCTCTCTCTCTCTCTTGTGTGTAAGGACTAGATTCGTTAACTTGACAGGCGGTGGTGTTGGATTGTTTTTGTGTAGGGTTGGATTCTTTATATAAAGGATTGGATTCTCTATATGGAGGATTGGATTCTCTATATGGAGGATTGATTCTTTATATGAAGGATTGGATTCTTTATGTGGAGGATTGGATCTTTATATGGAGGATTGGATTCTTTATATGGAGGATTGGATTCTTTATATGAAGAATTGGATTCTATATGAAGGACTAGGCTTCTTTATATGAAGGATTGGAGTGTTTACATGACGGTTTGGATTCTGCCTATGACAAATTGGATTCTGTATATAAAGTTTGGATTCTTCGTATGAAAGATGGGATTCTGTATGTAAAGGTTTGAAGTCTTCAGAAGATTGGATTCTAAATATAAAATGGATTGGATTCTTTATATGGAAGATTGGATTATGTATATGGAGGATTGGATTATGTATATGGAGGATTGGATTATGTATATGGAGGATTGGATTATTTATATAAAGGATTGGATTATTTACATAAAGGATTACATTATTTATATGAAGAATCGGATTATTTACATAAAGGATTGGATTATTTATATGGAGGATTGGATTATTTACATAAAGGATTGGATTATTTATATGAAGGATTAAGATTTTGCTAGAGTGATCTTCTCACAGAATTAGCAGTCTAACAATCTCAGATTCTCATCACAAATTACTAGTTCAAAACGTGGTCATTTTTTTTTTGTGCAATAGCCCCATATTTGTACGTTCCAGCTATAGTAGCTATACGTACTATCATGTATAATTGTAATGTTCCGTTTTCTGTTCGTTGGTGGGGGGTTCTCGGGTAGGTTAGGTTCGGGCAATTTAATACATCAGTTTAGTGACGATGGGAACGCTCTTGGCTGCACTATGCCTCAGTTTGTTATCTGTGATCTCTGCCTTCTATGCCACACTTGCTGCTCTGTTTAGAAAAGCTTCCACGATGTGTGCAGGTCTGAACTCAGTCCCCAGTGGTGACCACATGTTGATAAGCATCATTGGTCCATACGAGACAGCTCCTATTGGTCCATGCGAGGCAGGTCCTATTGGTCCATATGAGACAGCTCCTATTGGTCCATGCGAGGCAGGTCCTATTGGTCCATACGAGACAGCTCCTATTGGTCCATACGAGGCAGGTCCTATTGGTCCATACGAGACAGCTCCTATTGGTCCATACGAGGCAGGTCCTATTGGTCCATACGAGGCAGGTCCTATTGGTCCATACGAGGCAGGTCCTATTGGTCCATGCGAGGCAGCTCCTATTGGTCCATACGAGGCTGCTCCTATTGGTCCATACGAGGCAGGTCCTATTGGTCCATACGAGACAGCTCCTATTGGTCCATACGAGGCTGCTCCTATTGGTCCATACGAGGCAGGTCCTATTGGTCCATACGAGACAGCTCCTATTGGTCCATGCGAGGCAGCTCCTATTGGTCCATGCGAGGCAGCTCCTATTGGTCCATGCGAGGCAGCTCCTATTGGTCCATATGAGGTCCAGGTCCTATTGGTCCATACGAGGCTGCTCCTATTGGTCCATATGAGGTCCAGGTCCTATTGGTCCATGCGAGGCAGCTCCTGTTGGTCCCTTTGATTGGCCTATTTACACATTTCCCTTTGTTTAGGCCTATATGTGTTCCCCTTTGAGGGCTGGGAGTTAGGAGGAAAGAGTACTGGAACTAAACCTCACGTCACTGGAAGACAAGAGTAAGAGGAGACTTGATTGCTACCTACAAAATTCTCAGGGGAATTGACAGGGTAGATAAAGACATTATTTAACACGGGTGATACTCGCACAAGGGGACCCAGGTGGAAACTTAGTACCTACTTGAGCCACAGAAACATTAGAAATAATTTTTTCAGTGTCAGAGTAGTTAACAAATGGAATGCATTAGGCAGTGATGTGGTGGAGGCTGACTCCATAAATAGTTTCAAACGTACATATGATAGAGCCAAATAGGCTCAGGAATCTGTACACATGCAGAGTGGTGGACGGTTGGAACAAGCTAAGTGAGAAGGTGGTGGTTATCATGAGGTTATCTTGAGATGATTTCGGGGCTTTAGTGTCCCCGCGGCCCGGTCCTCGACCAGGCCTCCACCCCCAGGAAGCAGCCCGTGACAGTTGACTAACACCCAGGTACCTATTTTACTGCTAGGTAACAGGGGCATAGGGTGAAAGAAACTCTGCCCATTGTTTCTCGCCGGCGCCTGGGATTGAACCCAGGACCACAGGATCACAAGTCCAGCGTGCTGTCCGCTCGGCCGACCGGCTCCCTTTGGCCGGGTGGAGGCCAAGACCGTCAGTAGTTTCAAAGCGTTATATGACAAAGAGTGCTGGGAAGACGGGACACCACGAGCGTAGCTCTCATCCTGTAACTACACTTAGGTAATTACCAGTTGACTGACAGTTGAGAAACGGGACCAAAGAGCCGAAGCTCAATCCCCGCAAGCACAACTAGGTAAGTACAAGAAGGTGAGTTACCGCAAGTCATGTCCCCTCTCACTCTAACGTCTTGTGAATGAAAATTGAATTGTCTTAATCTCTCTAAGGAGTGGAACGTTTTGATCTCCATCTCTGAGTAAGGTTATTGGGGGCCTGGTAGCCTGGTGGATAGCGGGCAGGACTCGTAATTCTGTGGCGCGGGTTCGATTCCCGCACGAGGCAGAAACAAATGGGTAAAGTTTCTTTCACCCTGAATGCCCCTGTTACCTAGCAGTAAATAGGTACCTGGGAGTTAGTCAGCTGTCACGGGCTGCTTCCTGGGGGTGGAGGCCTGGTCGAGGACCGGGCCGCGGGGACACTAAAGCCCCGAAATCATCTCAAGATAACCTCAAGATTGACCAGTTGGGGGAGTGTTGATCTCCCAGCGACAGTGTTACCAACAAATAAATCATACAATGGCCTTGATAAACGACCGGAATCTATTCTTGAAACACAAACCGAAACTGTCTCTATTTTCCGCTTGTTACAACTTGTAATAAAGTTGTTACATCTTGGCTTAACGTGTTTATGACGTATTAGAACGTTGTTACAACTTGCTATATTGGTTGTTATAACTGGTTAGGTGTTAAAACTTGTTCGAACGTTGTACCAACGTCGTAGTTTCGGTGTGTGTTTGGTTTGGAATATATATATATATATATATATATATATATATATATATATATATATATATATATATATATATATTCAGTCTTGAAAGGATGAGAGCAAGAGAGAGGGTTCAGTACCACTATGCGATGCTATTTTGTTGTTGTGTAACTGTAGGAGCCGCTTAACAGCGAGTTTATAGTTATATTCTGGTTTATAATTATTTGCACAGTACTTGAGTTATAAAGAACTTGATAAACACCTCCAAAGGATACCTTTCGTGCGGGCCTCAGAGTCACGTCAGACTTCCAGCAGCGGCGTCCAACAGCCTGGTTGACCCAAGGGAACCCCAAGGAGGCTCCCAGGGAACCCCAAAGGGACCCCAAAGGAACCTCAAGGGGACCCCATGGTATACAGTATACTGTACTGTATTCCGGACAGCAGCTTGTATATACAGTATTGTATTAGCCATTAAGCAAGTGGTGGTGTTGAGAGGAGCTCGAGACATCTCCTCTACCACCGTAAGCTGAACATAAACAAGCAGTCTTGTTTGCCTCTAATGGTCTCTTGCTTGTTCAATACCCTTTGTAATCTCTTGTAATCCTCTGTAATTCCCGGGATTAACCCGGTCATCCTTTTCTATGTAGAATTTATAATTTGTATTCATTTCTGTAGCGTGGTGTTCAAACCTCCTCTGCTTGTCGAGGAGGATTGACTGGGCACCAGTTCAACACTCTTCGCTCCTGTTCACCCAGCAGTAATTGGGGAAACGTGCGTGAACCGATTGTCGAATTGTGTTCCAGGGACACACTAGTAAGGTAAGGCTTACCATGAGCTACGGGAAGGGAAAGCTCTCAGCCTGCTAACAGGAGTCAGCAGTCGTCTGCTCCTGTACCCTCCTGTGTAAAACTAGTAAGGTAAGGCTTACCATGAGCTATGGGAAGGGAAAGCTCTCAGCTTGCTAACAGGAGTCAGCAGTCGTCTGCTCCTGTACCCTCCTGTGTAAAACTAGTAAGGTAAGGCTTACCATGAGCTATGGGAAGGGAAAGCTCTCAGCTTGCTAACAGGAGTCAGCAGTCGTCTGCTCCTGTACCCTCCTGTGTAAAACTAGAAAGGTAAGGCTTACCATGATCTATGGGAAGGGAAAGCTCTCAGCCTGCTAACAGGAGTCAGCAGTCGTCTGCTCCTGTACCCTCCTGTGTAAAACTAGTAAGGTAAGGCTTACCATGAGCTATGGGAAGGAAAGCTCTCAGCTTGCTAACAGGAGTCAGCAGTCGTCTGCTCCTGTACCCTCCTGTGTAAAACTAGTAAGGTAAGGCTTACCATGACCTATGGGAAGGGAAAGCTCTCAGCCTGCTAACAGGAGTGTAAAGTCGTCTGCTCCTGTACCCTCCTGTGTAAATAAGGAGAAAGAGGAGGATCAAGTCGATGAAGAGCATTAGATCCTCTCATGGTGACGTCTATAGATTTGAGTCCAGCAACATCCAAAGACAGTAGTACTTCAAGGGAACTTCAAAGGTACCCCAAGAACTTCAAAGGAACCTCAAAGGAACCCCAAGAACTTCAAAGGAACCTCAAAGGAACCCCAAGAACTTCAAAGGAACCTCAAAGGAACCCCAAGAACTTCAAAGGAACCTCAAAGGAACCCCAAGAACTTCAAAGGAACCTCAAAGGAACCCCAAGAACTTCAAAGGAACCTCAAAGGAACCTCAAAGGAACCCCAAGAACTTCAAAGGAACCTCAAAGGAACCCCAAGAACTTCAAAGGAACCTCAAAGGGACCCCAAGAACTTCAAAGGAACCTCAAAGGGACCCAAGAACTTCAAAGAAACCTCAAAGGGACCCAAGAACTTCAAAGAAACCTCAAAGGGACCCAAGAACTTCAAAGGAACCTCAAAGGTACCCCAAGAACTTCAAAGGAACCTCAAAGGAACCTCAAAGGAACCTCAAAGGAACCCCAAGAACTTCAAAGGAACCTCAAAGGGACCCAAGAACTTCAAAGAAACCTCAAAGGGACCCAAGAACTTCAAAGGAACCTCAAAGGTACCCCAAGAACTTCAAAGGAACCTCAAAGGGACCCAAGAACTTCAAAGGAACCTCAAAGGTACCCCAAGAACTTCAAAGGAACCTCAAAGGTACCCCAAGAACTTCAAAGGAACCTCAAAGGTACCCCAAGAACTTCAAAGGAACCTCAAAGGAACCCCAAGAACTTCAAAGGAACCTCAAAGGTACCCCAAGAACTTCAAAGGAACCTCAAAGGTACCCCAAGAACCTCTTGGGGTTACCATGAGGTTCTGTTCCATGCCAGGTTACCAATGGTATTTTATACCAATACCATTATTTTTATCCTACAATCCTACACGTACATCCTGTCTGTGTATGTGTGTATGCTCACGTAGTTGTGCGTACCAAGTTGTGCTTGCGGGGGTTGAGCTCTGGCTCTTTGGTCCCGCCTCTCAACTGTCAATCAACTGGTGTACAGGTTCCTGAGCCTACTGGGCTCTATCATATCTACATTTGAAACTGTGTATGGAGTCAGCCTCCACCACATCACTTCCTAGTGCATTCCATTTACTAACTACTCTGACACTGAAAAAGTTCTTTCTAATGTCTCTGTGGCTCATTTGGGTACTCAGCTTCCACCTGTGTCCCCTTGTTCGTGTACCGCCCGTGTTAAATAAACCATTCTTGTCTACCCTGTGAATTCCCCTGAGAATTTTATTTATGGTGATCATGTCTCCTCGAGCTCTTCTGTCTTCCAGTGTCGTGAGGTGCATTTCACGCAGCCTTTCCTCGTAACTCATGCCTCTGAGTTCTGGGATTAGCCTAGTGGCATCCCTCTGAACTTTTTCCAGCTTCGTCTTGTGCTTGACAAGGTATGGGCTCCATATGTGTGAGTGTTTACTCCCCTAGTTGTGCTTGCGGGGAGGGGGGGGGGGGGGTTGAACTCTACTCTTTCGGCCCGCCTCTCAACTGTCAATCAATCAAAATCAATCAACCGGTACTATTTTTTTTTCCACACATACACACACACACACACACACACACACACACACACACACACACACACACACACACACACACACACACACACACACACACACACACAGGAAGCAGCCCGTAACAGATGTCTAAATCCCAGGTACCTATTTACTGCTAGGTAACAGGGGCATCAGGGTGTACGAATCGCATTTTGTTTCTGCCATCACCGGGGATCGAACCCGGTAACCCTAGGATTACGAGTCTAGAGCGCTGTCCACTCAGCTATCAGGCCCCCGTGTGTGTGTGTGAAGTTAACGGGGTTGCAAAGTATTGCAAAATGTGACGGTGGTGTTGCAACAAGGTGGCGTTGCTCCGCTGAGCGTGGTGTGGGAGTCCCGCCGGTCTCCCAAGTCCTCTCAGAATGGAAGAACTTCGCTCACGAAGCGCCGTCAACACTGAATCGAGAGCGGACAGCTCAGCAGGTCGCTGCCGGCTTAGAGAGGCTTGGCCGAGGTGGGGCTTGGCCGCGGTGGGGCTTGACCGAGATGGGGCTTGTCCGCGGTGGGGCTTGGCCGAGGTGGGGCTTGGCCGCGGTGGGGCTTGGCCGAGGTGGGGCTTGGCCGAGGTAGGGGCTTGGTCGAGATGGGGCTTGTCCGCGGTGGGGCTTGGCCGCGGTGGGGCTTGGCCGCGGTGGGGCTTGGCCGAGGAGCTATGACAAAGAGAGTCTGCGAAAGTAGTTTTTCTCCTGGGACGGGTCAAACGTAACGGGAATAGAAAGGCGAAGGAGTTCTGCCTATCCTTTTGTGTCCAGTAAAACGCTCTTTTTTAGTGGCTTGTTCGCCAGCCGATTGATCTAGCCAGCTGCCAGGCACCTCATTTATCTATCCAGGTGGCTAGTTATCCCCGCCCAGGAAGCAATTTCTCACGGAGAATGCAGAAAATGAGTCCAACGCTCGGACATCTCCAGGGTAGGATATCTCCACGGTAGGATATCTCCAGCGACAGGATATCACCAGCGGTAGGATAGGAGGATCCTCATCCTCTTATCCCTGTGGTTAAGGCACACAGGGACATCGTCGCCTTGTTTATGCCCCTGAACTCGAGGTGAGTTACCCTCTGACGTCAGTAATTCTTGCTCCATTAACCTTTTTTGGTGGTGTTTCAGTCGTTAGTTAAAGGTGGTTCCAGGTGAGGGTGGTTTGGTCTTTAGGGCCTTTAAGTCTGCTCCATTTTGCCGTGTTTGTTTGTTTTGTTTTAACTTCCAAACTGTGAGATTTGTATGTAATTGTTTGTTTGTTTGTTTAAGGTATTTTTTAACATTTCAGTTGTGTGTTAACGTGTTTTTTGTTTCTGGCCAAGAACCACTGAACGCTTGGCCAAGCCCCACTGAACGCTTGGCCAAGCACCACTGAACGCTTGGCCAAGCCCCACTGAACGCTTGGCCAAGCCCCACTGAACGCTTGGCCAAGCACCACTGAACGCTTGGCCAAGCACCACTGAACGCTTGGCCAAGCCCCACTGAACGCTTGGCCAAGCCCCACTGAACGCTTGGCCAAGCACCACTGAACGCTTGGCCAAGCCCCACTGAACGCTTGGCCAAGCCCCACTGAACGCTTGGCCAAGCCCCACTGAACGCTTGGCCAAGCACCACTGAACGCTTGGCCAAGCCCCACTGAACGCTTGGCCAAGCCCCACTGAACGCTTGGCCAAGCACCACTGAACGCTTGGCCAAGCCCCACTGAACGCCTGGCCAAGCACCACTGAACGCTTGGCCAAGCCCCACTGAACGCTTGGCCAAGCACCACTGAACGCTTGGCCAAGCACCACTGAACGCCTGGCCAAGCCCCACTGAACGCTTGGCCAAGCACCACTGAACGCTTGGCCAAGCACCACTGAACGCTTGGCCAAGCACCACTGAACGCTTGGCCAAGCACCACTGAACGCTTGGCCAAGCCCCAAAGCCATCAGTCAGGTTACCTTGCGATGATTCCGGGGCTTAGCGTCCCTGCGGCCCGGTCCTGGACCAGGCCTTCCTGGTTGCTGGACTGGTCAACCAGGCTGTTGGACAATGATGAAGGGAGGGGGGTGGGGGGAGGTGGTAGATGTTTACTGGTGATGGCCTGGTTATCTTTCTCTTGCAATTTTCCACGGGTTCGAGTCCCTGCCTGAGTCTTCACGGTGAGGGAAAAGTCACTTCCCTGTGGAGGTTCTTGGTTAACTATCGCATTATTCATCCTGTTGCTCTCAGTACTGTTACTTTCCCCGTTGTTTTCAGGAAAGAACGGAGTTTCCAGCACCGTTGTTTCCTGGAAACAACGGTACTTTTCAGCACCGTTGTTTCCTAGAAACAACGGTACTTTCCAGCACCGTTGTTTCCTGGAAACAACGGTACTTTCCAGCACCGTTGTTTCCTGGAAACAACGGTACTTTCCAGCACCGTTGTTTCCTGGATACAACGGTACTTTCCAGCACCGTTGTTTCCTGGAAACAACGGTACTTTCCAGCACCGTTGTTTCCTAGAAACAACGGTACTTTTCAGCATCGTTGTTTCCTAGAAACAACGGTACTTTTCAGCATCGTTGTTTCCTATAAACAACGGTATTTTCCAGCACCGTTGTTTCCTAGAAACAACGGTACTTTCCAGCACCGTCGTAGCCTAGAAACAACGGTACTTTCCAGTACCTTTGTTTCCTAGAAACAACAGTACTTTCCAGCACCGTCGTTTCCTAGAAACAACGGTACTTTTCAGCATCGTTGTTTCCTAGAAACAACGGTACTTTTCAGCATCGTTGTTTCCTAGAAACAAGCGTACTTTCCAGCACCGTTGTTTCCTATAAACAACGGTACTTTCCAGCACCGTTGTTTCCTATAAACAAGCGTACTTTCCAGCACCGTCGTAGCCTAGAAACAACGGTACTTTCCAGCACCGTCGTAGCCTAGAAACAACGGTACGTTCCAGTACCGTTGTTTCCTAGAAACAACGGTACTTTCCAGCACCGTTGTTTCCTGAAAACAACTGTACTTTCCAGTACCGTCGTTTCCTAGAAACAACGGTACTGAAAAGCGATATCTTTGTGGGGGTTTCTTTGTTATCTCTCGCGTCACTGTTGATAAAGGAACTTCACGATACTTTACGTCACGGTAACCTGGGGTCCGCACCGTCAGTTCCCAGCGCCGTGGCCGTCCTTCCAGCGCTCTTGAGCGGGAAAATGGCGCGAGGTAATGACTTACGTGTTGGTACTGTGAATATCTAGACGTTCTTTCCTTGTTTACTTAATGTGGGGCCGCGGCTGAGTGCTTCTTAGGGGGGGAGAGGGGCGAGGGGGGCGGGGGGGGGGGGCTGTTGTGATGGTCTAGTTACCTGATTGATACCTGGTTGATACCTGGTTGATAGGGTTCTGCGAGTTGTTCTACTCCCCAAGCCCGGCCCGAGGCCAGGATTGACTTGTGAGAGCTTCAGGTCTGTGATGATGTATAACTCAACCCATCCTAACCTAACCTAACCTAACCTAACTCAAACCTAACCTAACCTAACCTAACCTAACCTAACTCAAACCTAACCTAACCTAACCTAACATAACATGCACTCTCAGTCACCTGGTCCATAAAGGGGCTTGTGGGGGGAGTAGAATAACTCTCGGAATCCTCTACAGGTATTCTCCAGGTATCATATTCTTAATCAAGTTCCTTTCTACTTCTCGTGTAATGGTTCTGTGGGCTTGAGGGCCACACAGCAGCTCAGTCTAAAGCAAGGTGTGACTGTCACAGGCGCCATCTGTGGTTCAGAGATGTTACTGTCGAATAGTTTCAGGCCCGAAGTATGACCTCTTTGTGGTTACGGAGCCTCTGTGTGCCCCCTCTGTGCCTGAGTGCCAGGGGGCCCTGGGCCCCGTGTGCCTGAGTGCCAGGGACCCAGAGTCCCAGTAGAGGAGTGCCAGGGGCCCGTGTCCTAGTAGAGGAGCGCCAGGGGCCCCGTGTCCCAGTAGTGTGAGTGCCAGGGGCCCCGTGTCCCAGTAGTGTGAGTGCCAGGGGCCCCGTGTCCCAGTAGAGTGAGTGCCAGGGGCCCGGGTCCCAGTAGTGTGAGTGCCAGGGGCCCCGTGTCCCAGTAGAGTGAGTGCCAGGGGCCCCGTGTCCCAGTAGAGGAGTGCCAGGGGCCCGTGTCCTAGTAGAGTGAGTGCCAGGGGCCCGTGTCCTAGTAGAGTGAGTGCCAGGGGCCCGGGTCCCAGTAGTGTGAGTGCCAGGGGCCCGGGTCCCAGTAGTGTGAGTGCCAGGGGCCCGGGTCCCAGTAGTGTGAGTGCCAGGGGCCCGTGTCCCAGTAGTGTGAGTGCCAGGGGCCCGGGTCCCAGTAGTGTGAGTGCCAGGGGCCCGGGTCCCAGTAGTGTGAGTGCCAGGGGCCCGGGTCCCAGTAGAGTGAGTG